CCCCCCCCCCCCCCCCAGCAAAACAAAAAACCTCCCAGCTGCATCAGACGCTGATTTCTGAATTTAAATGCCATTTCTCTCCTGGTTCAAAGGTGTAGCATTGTTGTTGCTTGAAGCTCCAGAACTAAGTCCTACCTTTTTGATTTTAAACCACTAGATTTTTTTATTCCAGTGGTGAATAATTTGGTTGTTCAGTTTCCCCAACCTCTGTGTCTTCTAACATTTAATATTTATTAATTTTCTTCCAGTATTGACCTATTAATTTTTTTTTTCTCATCCTTCCTTGAATTGGGATCCAGTAGGTTTGTGGATTCACTTCCTGGATCCATCACTGCAGCAATTTCCCTACAGAACTCTTCTGTCCCTGTCGGGCATGATGGCACTGTCCTGGAAATGAGATTAAACTTAAATTGTTGTTCCACATATGAGGCAGTATTTAAATACTCTTCTGAGGGCGTATTAGGCCTTGCTGGTTTGCAGCCAGCCAGCACTTGAATTGCCAGAGGACAAGGCTCAGAGCTCAGTCATGCTGGGAGATCAGGTTCCTCCACCCGAGCACTGTTCCAATACAGAAAAGCTGATCAGGAGTTTTCTGACTATTTTAATAAGTCTGTGAAGAAGGCCTTTACAGGAGATAAATCCCACACAAGACAGGGCTAGAATTGGTTTGGAAAACCCTGGAAGTCAAGATCTCTCTAAAGAGATCTCTTCCCCAGGAAGGAAGTGGGACTCGTACCAAGCATCTCTTCCTTCTACTGTGCATTGAAAATTTCTGATGGTTCTTATGGGTACGTGATGTTGCAAAGAACTGGAACTTCTTGATCTTGGAGATTTGAGGTCCAAAAACAGGCAAAAGCAAGCCTCATCTTCAAAGGTAACAATTTGTAAATGAACAAGTGGGTTGCAAAGGAACTACTTCTTTGTGCCTCCTTCCTAAACACTGGGAACATTTACTGACCTTACCTCTTGTGCAGGGACTTGTGCAGTATGATTATACTGCTAATTAAAGCTGATTTTAAGGCTGGAAGGGCAGAGAAGGGTGCAGGGGACCCCGGGCAGGGAAGGAGCACTGGGCTCTTCCCTGCCCCGTGCTGCAGATGCTCGCAGCCGGCATGGGGCTGCCTGTGTCTGCTCTGGACAGCCCTGTGTGGGCCGCAAGCAGCTGCAGCAGGGAGCGCCGGCCATGGGGAGGGGCCACCCCACCCCCCTTTTTGGTGCTCAGCTTTTCCCTGGGCTCCTTCCCTGTGCAGAGAAAAGCAGCCCTTCGCCTGCCCCATGGCTGGCGTTCCCTGCTGCAGGCGCTCGCAACCCACGCGGGGCTGTCCGGATCAGGCACAGGCAGCCCCCAGGGCTGCGAGCGACTGCAGCATAGGGCACTGGGCATGGGGCGAACGAGGGGCTGCTTTTCCCCAACCTCTGCACTCAGCACCACCTTGTAACCTGGTCCCACTGCCAGGCTGCAGTGGGGCTGGGTTACAAGCTGGTGCTGAGCGTGGGGAAGAGTGGCTCCTTGCTTGTCATGTGGCTGGTGCTCCGCGCTGCAGTCGCTCACAGCCTGCCTGGGACTGCCTGTGCCTGCTCCAGACAGCCCCACGTGGGCTGCAAGCACCTGCAGCAGGGAGCAGCGGTCATGGGGTGGGCAAGGGGCTGCTTTTCCCTGCACTCAGTACTGGCTTCTTCCCTGCTGGCAAGCAGGGGGTTGGGGCTGTGCGCTGCCCCTCGCCTGTACCGAGGGGCTGGGGGGCACTGGGTGTGTGTGGGCAAGGAGCCAGCGGGAGCACGGGGCCTGCACCGCTGCCTTGGGCTCAGTGCCGGTGGCCCTTAGAGTAGGGTGGCAGGAGCGCAGGGTCCCAGCTGGCAGGGGCTCTGTGGAGCTGGGCCAGTTCCCCCTTCTCCCTGCTGGTGCAGCCCAGCTCTATGGACCCCTGCCAGCCTGCGCCCCACTTTGGGCCCCACTGGTGCTGGCCCTGGCATTGGGACATTGATTCCAAGATGGTGACCAGGGAGTGAGGCACCTGTTAAGGGGCGAGGCTACCCATGTGGCCCTCGACAGCCTGCCAAAACTGGGTAAGCGGCCCTTCACCTGAAATAATTGCCCGCCCCTGAGCAAGATCAATGTTTCTCAGTTCTTTCAGTCTCAAGGCTCTTCTTCCATATCTCTTCTGAATTCGGATCCATCTCTGATTTTCAGCTGGGGTGCCATGAAATTCAAAAGGGGTTTTTTTGTTTGCATTTTTTTTTTTAGTAACAGTACATCTCTGCACTGGTACGATTGCCTTTGACAGGGGAGTGGAATATGTTATGTGTTTTGGGGGAAAAAAAGGAAAACCGCCCAAAACACGTCTTTTCAGGTATGAGAGCGAAGTGTGCCAGCAGTTTTTTAATCCAGAAGAAAGTGTGTCCTGGGTATCGAAATTTTGGAAAATGCTGCCCTACAGCATGCAGCCCTTTAAGCATCCTCTACATGTTGCATGTATTACACAGTTACCTTAGGACCAGCTACAAATGCAAAGTAGCTATCGCATAATAAAAAGCTCCAACCAACTGTAAAGTTAGACCTAAAAAATGTGCAATAACTATATAGCAGGTTGCTATTGAGCTTTAATTTGCACACTATAGCAGGGTCTCTTCTGTGACTGGGAGCCCTGTCAATTGACAGGGGTACGGCTTGCCTAGCATGAAAGCCCCAAACCTTGGTAATTGCAGCTGCTATGATCCCCAAGGCTAGGATTGGGGAATGAAAACCTGACCTCTCACGGGGCTCTCAGCCCCAGCTGCGCCTCATGTAGCCGGGACCAAAAGCCCCTCAATTGACAGGACTTCCCATCCAGGCTGTGTGTTGCTCCTAGCTGTGGCCAAGGGCCCCACAACTGATGGGGCTTCTAGTCTGGGTTGTGCCTCACTGGGCTCCCAGCCATCGGAGCCTGCTTCTTGCCAGTGCAGGGGGAGCTCAGAATAGGGCTCCCCCTGGACTGGCAATATGGCATGATTGGATCTGATGTGCAGCATGGCCGTAGGTTCAATTGTGTCGGTACCACATAAGATCCAGTTGTGCCTTTGCCTGCACATCTAGACAGGTGGCCTTAGCATAATATTGCTCAACAAAAGTTCCAAATGCAGTCGTATTAAATGAGGGTTTGCTCTAGTTGTCTGTCACCAGTGGTCAGCACTAATTGTTTTAAACCACTTCACTATGAAGCTTTCTTTTCTAGGTTGGTATCTGTGAAACTTTTTTTGTTCCTTTACATTAGGTGGAGGTATATGGGATGATAAATAAGGCAGTAAATTTTTTTTTTTGTGTATTTTTTTGTTGTTGTTGTTATTGTCTCTGAAATAATCCTTCTCACCTCCCTTAGCTACTGATTAACAGACATGCCAAACTCTTTTGATTACGTGGACATACTTTTGTTTCTTACCACAGCAGTCGAGACATTTTTGAATAGAGAAGTATTTTTCTACACTTGTGAAGTCTTCTGTTAGAGGTTCTTTTGTAAAAAGGCCCCTCTTTTTTGAGATGTGATAAACTATGGGTCTATCTACCTTGCAGTCATAGCTGTTACTGCAGTAAAAGGTGGACGTACCTGAGCTACCTTTAACTTAGTTATGAGCTCGGCATGTGTTAGGCAACACATTTTTATCCATCTTCTCAGGCAAATTCTGTAGTGTAGACCATTCTGAACTTCCATGCTGCTTTGGCTAGACTGCTTCTGATGTTCAAGCTATCTGTGTTAGAGCTGCTGCACTGCAGACATATAAAAAAAAGTAGGCATACACTAAAACTCTTGCCCTTTTTCATTCACACAATTTTACTGTTTAGTGGAGCTAGCCTGTGTATCTTGCATCTAGCCTTATTAAATTATTTAACAAGTTCTCCTCTTGGCCTTAAACAGGCTTCTATTTTAATGTGAACGATCATTGGCATCACGTTCTGTCTGTAACTATTTGTACCTAGAAAAAATTGTGGGCACTGTTTGAAAATCTAAACATAAAGCAGATTTTGGTGGAGCACTGCCTGTTTTGAAATGAAATGTAAATAATGAATTGCAAAGAGAAAATAGTTCCAGATAGATACAAGAACCATCTTGGGCTTTTTAAAAATAAACAGTTTATTTTTCTGCTATTGACTTTATTTTAAAATGAAGGGTTTTTTTTTTCTTTTCCCTTCCTTTGTAAGACGACCTGACTGAGGATGCATAATTAACTTGGTGTGTATAGAAAAACAACCCCCCAAAAATGTATAGGTTGTTTTAAAGCAGAAGTATTTTAGTACAAAATAAAAAAGAAACACAAGTGATGGTGCCACATGGGGGCAGAGGGGGCAGAAGGGTTGGGGGGTGTCAGACCCCAGGCCCTGATATAGCTATCTATGCACAGAGGGGGAAGGGGATTGTGGCCAAGCCTTCATCTGGTTGTACAGGGGTAGAGAAGGGGATGTGGCTCAGCCCTGATTTGGCCCCATAGGGCTTGGGAATTTGACAGCTGGGGAGGGCTGACACTGGCAGTATTACTTGTTACTACTCCCCTACCACCAAATTTCCAGACCTGTGGGGAACCCTGTGAGCTGGATGCCAAGGCTCCATGGGCTGCAATTTGGCCCACAGGCTGGAGGTTGAGCCTCCTTGCTTTAATAATACAAATCTCTTCTTTTTGCATTGACAGTCGGTTGTGATTTGGAAGATTCCTCACAATGAATTATGTATGTAAACTGGCATGAATGGGAATATAATACAGTTTAATTGACTGTTGTTCATGATGTTACCTTTGAACTACTCATGAGTGATAATGTTATTTTTCAGGAGAAAAATTGACTCCTAATATGACCTGTAGTGTTAAGCATACTTTTACTAACACTTCAGTTTCATTTTTTTTTTCTTTTTTTTACAGCCAAATGCCAAATGCCCTCTTTGTAGGAACGAACTTCGACTAGAGCATTTGGTAGAATGTCCTCTGGAGGAGTCAGACTTCGAGAGCGTGAAGAAAAGTGATCAGGAATGGATACCCAGTTCAAAAGTATAGTGACATTTAGCAAAATATATAGAAATACTCTGTTTTAAGTTTGAATTTACAAGGCATACAGCAAGCCATTTTAGTACAAGTAGAACCAGAAAATCCCACAGTGATCCTAAACTGCAGTAAAAAAAGAAAAAAAAAATTGTTATAACTCAGCAGTGGCGTTAAACCTAGATTAAAATGGTTTTTTCTCCTCCCCATCTTTTGGAAGAAATATGAGTAAAATTTTATTAATGTCTCAGAAATTAATTGGTAATAATTTAGAAGAATTTCATCCCTTGCAGGCCCGCCTAGCCAGACATAGGGGGTGGGGGAAGGTCGCATGTGGTGGCTGCTGCTGCTCCACAATCGGCCACAGCCCCTCTTTCATGCCCCCCCCGCCTTCTTACACTGACCAAAAAAGGCTGAAAAAACCCCTGCTCTGAAACATCAGTATATGTTTAGCCTCAAAAAAAATCTCTATACTAATTGTTACAGAAGCCTAAAAACTAACATAGTTGGCCTTTGCAAGGTGAGATTACTCTTGTTTATTCCTTTTCTATGTTTTCTCCTCCCTTTCGACTTCTCTTGCTCTGTAATCCTGGTCTCCTTTGCCTGTTTCTTGGTTATAAGAAGGCTTTTGACACCTGAACAAGAGGCTCTTGCTCCTCAAACATGACCTGCCTCTTCAGGAGCCACAGTGTCAACATGAAAAGTGGCCAGCCCTTTATTTTTGTCTCATCAGTTCTTCTAGTAAAAACAGTTTTTGTTTGGAACTAGTCTTTTCAAAGGCTAATTCAATATATTGATTTCTCAGAGAACACAGTGCTGAAGCCCAAGGGTTTTCAGATTAGCTGCAAGAATGGAGTCTAACAAGCCATCAGCCTACTGCATAAGTCTTCATTTTGGTTTTCAGATAAATGCTCTGATGCATGCTTTGATAGAACTAAGGAAGGAGAATCCAGCTGTTAAGTGTCTGATTGTTTCTCAATTCACAACTTTCTTGTCTTTAATAGAAACACCACTGAGGTAAGTAGAATGATTTATGATTTTAGGTACAGTGAGTGGGCTGCTAGGTTAAAATATTTGGAGTATGTTTTAAGTAGTTTAAATGTTTTAACTTTCTTTAGAATAAAAACGATAAAACATACCTTTGTCTTTTAGAACATTAAAAGAACAGTTTTAGTTCAAGTATTTTTGTCCAGCAGTATGAAGCCCGACTGTGTGTGTGAGAGATCCTGAAGCATGTATAACCTTTCAAACAAATAGTTTAAATAAAAAAAATGACAAGTAGAGGTCAGGATGTTAAAATGATTTATTTATTGTCCTATTATTATTATTATCTTGGTAATCCTCCCCCCTTGTCTTCTGCAGAGAGTCTGGTTTTGTTTTTACTCGTTTAGATGGATCCATGCCCCAGAAAAAACGGGTAGAAGCAATTCAGTGCTTCCAAAGCAGCCAAGCAGGATCTCCAACCATAATGCTGTTATCGCTAAAAGCTGGCGGGGTTGGATTAAACTTGACTGCAGCTTCACGAGTGTTCTTAATGGATCCGGTATGTAATAGTCTTGCCAAAAGTAATTACAACCCCTTCAGGATTTTAGGGAGAAGTAGAAATGGGGTCCTCTGAGAATCAGTAACACCAATAGATACCTGGGGAAGAAGCATTGTAAGGTTGCCACTTTACTTATTTTCCTCTATGGCAGTTTTAAGGATCCACATCCCCCAGAGAAAAGAATAATTTCTCATCTCGATGTAGGAAAGCATTTTATGAAATCGATTTTGCTTATAGGATGCAGTAAAAATTCCTGAGCGCCCCATCAGGAAAGGTTTTAATATCTGTCGAGAGAATTGCATGGCTACCACTTTTCTTGCCTAGAGCCAAGCCTCTTTTTCTTTTAAATTCAGTCCCCCTTGTGTTGAGCTGTGGAATTGCCTTGAAAAGTAGCATCTGCTGAGAGTCAGCACGAGCATAGTATTGTCATGCTCCTGTGTAAGAAGGGGTGTGGGTTGTAGCCGTGTTGGTTTAAGGACATAGGCAGACAAGTCTGCTTATGTAAGGAGTACACTTTAGTTTCATGGGGTGAAGACTGAAAGCCTCTCTGACTTTTACTGTGAACAGAGTTTTGGCACAGCACCAGCTAAATTTAAGACAAGCGCTGAAAACCAGCATAATCTATTTTAAGGCCTCAGGCTTGGCAACAGTGCAGGAAGTGCCCTCTTTGGCAGCTACTCCTTCTGTTTGGCATTGCTACCGCTGATGCTGGCCTTGAATCTATCCTCTGGTTACTAACATTACTGTCAGGGCAGTACAAGTTTATGCAGATTCCCATGCAGATGAGCAGAAGCCAACCTCCATTCCAGAAGAGTATGAGCAAAAAGGGGGGGAAAAAAGGAAATGCAATTCCTGTTTTCTTTGGTACTCTGTAAACTAGAAGGGACCTTCACTGTTGCCTTCCCCCCATGATTACCTGATGCCAGAGGTCTGTGAATCTCTCGTCAGTGACCTGGTACATACATAGCCTCTCCCCATCCTTGGATTGTTAATCCAAGTGGGAGGTATTGTTTCAGCTTATACAAAGGACCACTTTTCTTGAAGTTTTTTTCCTGGACTCTATCCATGCAAGAATATTTCTTCAGAGAAAAGATAATTTTCAAAAGTCAAAGCTGTCTGGCAACTCTTGGAACAAGCAGTATGGTTTTGCTCAAGTTTTTCTGAAAATACTAGGTCTGATGGCCTTATTAGACTATATGTCAGCCTTTGCTCATCTGAATGTAAGACTTTTACAGCACTGGATAGTGGGTAACTACACATCTCCTGTGCAAACTCTTCAAAGTAGATTAACCCTCCCTTTATTGGACTAAAAGCTTTGTTGGTGAGAGAACAGGGATGTGTCTCCCCACCCTGCTTCCAAGAAAGGGAGACCTATTTGTGCTGTCTCAGTTGCTAGTAATGTTTGCAATCTGGGTTGGGGTGTATATTTTCTAGACCTCCAGCTACACTGAGTACAAAATTCCATATTGATGTGCTGGAGCTCTGGATAGTATGGGAGGTCTTCAGAGCTTTTTATTCCTTGGGTGGTTTTGTTTATAAAGTACATGTGCTTGCAGACAACACAACAGTTACAGGTATTTCTTAACAAGCAGGGAGTAGTATATTCTCAGTCATTATCAGTAGGGGCAAGAAAAAATTGAATATGGTACATTCAGAACTAAATCCACCTAGCAGCTCTTCACCTTTGTCAGCAAGGAGGTTGGATGGCCAGAATGCTTGCAGGTCAGGTCACCCTGTAATAGAGCACTTCACATCAGACCAAAACGTTGAGTGCCAATATCTTTTTGTGCTCTTTTACAGTGCAGTACTTTTCAGCTAAGCATCTGTTTGAACAGTGGTCTTTATGCTGTCCTTTCTTTGCTTGAACTCATGGTCCTAATTGCATTGGACATAGGAGTCATACCAATCATCTTGAGATAAGCTGTGCAACATTGATCACCAGAGCTGCTGTTGAGAGAGGAATTGTTATATCTCTTGTTCTTGTCCCTAGACATCCTGTCTTGAAGCATCCAGAGATGCTCCATCTTGCAACATGAGGAATAACCCATTGACTAATATTTCTATTCTTTGAAACTGCTAGATATCCTCTTAATTTAGGAAAGGCTCTACCCTGAAATGTTATAAGGCGCATCACTTGGACCACTGGAAAAAGAGTTGCTTCATCTAGTAGTTCCAGAAAATGTTTTCTACTCAGTCTTAAGACTTATTTTAGCCTCCCTAAACGCGCACCACAGCAGCAATATATGTTGTAGTCATGTTCAAGACATTCCCATTTCTCTCTTCCTACAAGATACCAGCTTCCTTAAGAGCAGAATAAATGCATTTTTCCCCACTTGGGAACCCCTGCCCTAACTGGACCTAAATTAGGTTCTAAGCAGAGTGGCTCTCCTTATCAGCCTCTAACACCACACACACACACACACACACACACACACACACACACACA